GTTGGAGGGGGCCGTTAGGCTCACCCGTTGCGACGCCTGGAACTGAAATGCAGACCCCCTTCGGACTCTGGGGTTGCCACTCCCCTCCTTGCGCAGAATCCCTGCATTGTGCAGTGTTGGGGTGGGGGGTGGGAGTGCGGGGAGAGGGATTACCGCTTCTCTTCCATCCTCCGATGTCGAACCATAGGGGCAGGGAGCTGCCTTCAGGGCTCCTTCCTTCCTCCCAACCACTCTGCCCCCCGTTCCTGGCACGGACGCTGCCAACAGGGACCCTCGGCTTCTGCGGATGTTTTCCCATTGCAGTTACCCTGTGCGCGGGGTGTGTGTGTGTGTTATCTGGAGGAAGAAGGGCAGCTTTGGGCATGGCCTGGGCCACTGGGTCTCTCAAGCACCCTTCAAGGATGGTGGCGGTGGAAGGGAAGACCGGGAGGATTTTTTTCACAGCTTTGCTCTCTTCCTAACAGTTGGCCGAGACCCTTAACTGGTAGAGTGAAGACTTAACATGGCAAGTAGGTGACACCTTTGCTGGAGGGGAGGCATGTTTCCCACCCACCCTGGGGAGAAGGGGCTCTAAGGCCCCCTGTGCCAAATGGAGCTGGCTGGGTTTCTTCTGCATTCTCAAATTGGCTTTAAAATACAAGGGGAGGGGGGCTTTTCATAGGCTCTTCAAATCGTGGAGTCCTGGGGACGTTTTGGCTACTACTGGAACTGCCCTAATATGAGGTTACTTGCTTGTGGCTGGGCAGCCTGATGGAGGTTATTTTTAGCTCTTCCAGTTTTAAGGTTGGGTTTGCCCAATGGTTGCAATGGTCAATGTTGATGCCGTTGGTCAAGTGAATTGGGCTACCGTCCCACACCAGCCCATTCTGGCCCATCGCAGGTTAAGGAGAAGGAGCGATACCTGCTTCTTCTGCCCCAGGAGATTTGGGTGGGAAGGGGCTTTGCCCTGATCTTGCTCTGCACTAAAGCAGCAAGACCTCCACCCCGGAAGAAGAATGAGACCCGGAATGAGATGCTTGGCCGCCCTGTTGAGGTGGCCCTCTTGGTGCCTGTCTCTTCCAGCCTTCCTCACAGCCCCCAAAGCCCATTCCGTCCTGAAGCGTTTTCCACGGGCCAATGGCTTTCTGGAAGAGTTTCGCCAGGGCACCATTGAGCGTGAGTGCGTGGAGGAGGTCTGCAGCTATGAGGAAGTCAAGGAGGTCTTTGAGAACAAGGAGAAGACGGTAGGTGGGTCTGGGAGGGAACAGCAGGAAGGGGGCATCCCTTGCCTTTCACCCACAATCTCCCTTCCACCGGCTTCCCCCACTTCGCTCCCAAGATATGGATAAGGATCCATCTGGATCAGGGATTCAGTCATTAAAGCGGGGAACCGGCATGTTAATCACAGGTGCTCAGCATAACATCTGTCCCACGCGTCTGAAAAGGTTTATTATTCACTGCTCGAGGCTCGGTGGTGTAAAAGAGCGAGGAGTGGGCAGCAGGGTGAATTTTAATAGCAATAATAATAACAGTAGACTTATATACCACTTCATAGGGCTTTCAGCCCTCTCTAAGTGGTTTACAGAGTCAGCATATTGCTCCCAACAACAATCCAGGTCCTCATTTTACCCACCTCGGAAGGATGGAAGGCTGAGTCAACCCTGAGCCGGTGAGATTTGAACCGCTGAACTGCTGATCTAGCAGTCAGCCTGCAGTGCTGCATTTAACCACTGTGCCACCTTGGCTCATTTTGCAGGAGGAACGCAAAATGGGCAAATAATTGGAGGATTGGAAAACAAAGAAGTGCCAATTAAAGCCCAAAGGAAAAACATGTCCTTTTAATCAGAGGGCTAAGGATGTTGGGCAATCTGTTTTTTGGTGATTTCTCCAGGCAGCAGGGCCATTTGCACTGCCTCCTAGTGATGGGACTGGGAATTGCATATGAGCCGCTCCTGGCACATAGCCCAAATCCTTAGGCACCTTTGAGCTAACCCCTTTCAGGGTGGCTAAGGGAGGGGGGAACGGGGCACGGTGGATAGTTACTGACTGGTGTCTCCCATTCCTGGCAGATGGAGTTCTGGAAGGGCTATGCCTACTCCGTCAAAGATGCCTCCGACGGGACAGAACGCTCCGACGCCATGTACGTCGTCGTGCCCCTGCTAGGCGTGGCATTGCTCATCGTCATTGGCCTCTTCATCATCTGGCGCTGCCAACTGCAAAAAGTCACGCACCACCGTCCCTCCTACCCCCAAAATAGGGGCCTGGCCAGCCGAGCGGCGCGCAGCTTGCCCAGGGTGAGGGTGCACCGCGAGGCTCCTCCACCTCCCGGCCAAAGCGAATCCCACTGCCAGCAGGACCCAAGCGGCAGAGGGGCTGCCGATGGCGAGTGGGGGCAAGGGCCACCCAGTCAGCTGGCCAGGACACTTGTTGAGCCCGAGCACATGGCTCCCCCGCTGCCTAGACTGTGCAGTGCCTCTCCTCCCCCCTCCTACGAAGAAGTGACGGGGCGGCCTCATCGTGGTGGCAGCAGTGGGGCAGAGGAGCCCAACGTGTCCTACAGCGACCCACCCCCCAAATATGAGGAGATTATGAATCCCCTTCACGCTCCTGGGAAGTAACGGCCCCGGATCCTCTCGGCCAGGTGATGTCAGTACAGAAACAGCCTTATCCTCTCCACCCTCACCAAGTGCTCCACAGGTGGCTGGCGCCATTCACCCACTTCACTCCTTCTGCTAGGCTGTGGCGGGATCCTCAACTAGGAGCGGTTCTGGTTGCAGGGACGTGGGTAGAAAGCAGGGCTGAACTCTGCCTCAGGGGTCCCTTTACAGGAAGACGGCTGTCCCGCTGCTTGGGTCTCTTCCCAGGGCTGAGGCTGGGCCCTACTGCTACGGTGGGTGGGGGCATTCAGCACCTTCGACGTCCACCCTTTTGGCAAGAGCTTGGTTGGGTGGTGAGGACGGATCAGGTGGGGTAGGAGCTTTACCATTCTTTCCACCCACCTGGGATGGTGCTGAGGAGGAGGAGGAGGAGCGCAGGTATGCCTTTTGGGGGGGGGGGGCACGTATCTGACATGGGGAAATGCCAGTCCTTTTCTGCTCAGCTCTACCCAATACTGCTTTGTTCAACCAAAGGGAGGGGGAAGAAAGCCCCCACCCCACCCCTCCGTGTTTGCTCTCCCTGTGGAATGCTGCCTTTGTCTATGGATGATGTCAGGCCCCCTCCTTGCAAAGAGAAACAGCCAAAAAGCAAAAGTGATTTTTTTTTTAATTTTTGGATTCACAAAGCCAATGCATCGGCAATCGCCATTTTTCTGATGTACCTGTCGCACTGGAAGGTTGTGTGTCTGTGTCTGTGCATGTAATTTATATGTGGCTATGGAGGGCAGAGGAGAAGGACTGAGCCCATCCCTCCCTCCCTCCCTCCCTCTCAGAAACACATCAGGACATTTTCTCGCTTATCCCACTGGCCCTATCGGTGTCTTCCTCCCCTTGACGCTGTCCAGAGGTGGACCCTGGCAGCACCATGCTGCCAAAGATGATTCTAGATGGGCATCTGTGTTGAGGACCCCCCCCCCCTCCTGCTGCAACGGCACTTCCTCTTCCTCTGGTGGGATTCGACTTTCCCTTTGGCCCCCATCTTTGGCCCTGTTCCCTGTTGGATAGAGCGGGGCATAGAGGGGGCTCCTCCTGCCCCCCAGTGCTCTGGGTTTCCCCCTCACCATGCAGCCCCCTTCCTTTCACCGGGATTCCCTCCTCGCCAGAAGGAACAGCCGCTCAATGTTTTCACTCCCTTGGACAAAGCACACCCACGCTCTTCTTTCACACTTCTTTCTCAATGGTGCTAACGCATATCCGGGTATTCTCTCCTTGTGTGAAACTCTCTATGCTGCTTTACTGTATTTATACATTTTGTTTAAACCGAAAGAAACTTCATTTCTCATGGGCAGTAGATTGTTTCTTGCACTGTTCCGAAAGCCACATCATGGTCAGCCGTGAATTTAGATGTGGACAGCGGCACAAGGTTAAAAAAAGCGTGACCCGTCAAAACCGCGTTCCACAAAAGCGCGATCGACGAAATCACGTATGTGACGTCATCACAACGCGACGAAAAAGATCAAAAAATTGAAATAAAAATTAAATTACAGCAAGCCGATTCACATGAAGGTAAGCGTTAGGTTAAGGGTTAGGGTTAGGGTTAGGTTAAGGGTTAGGGTTAGGTTTAGAGCGTTAGCGTTACGTTTAGCTTTAGGTTAAGGGTTAGTGTTAGGTTTTTCGTTAGGTTTAGGGTTAGGTTTAGGGTTAGGTTTGGGGGGGTTAGGGGAAGGTTTTCGCTTTATTTTTACATTTTTCGATCTTTTTCGTCGCGCTGTGATGACGCCACATACGCGCTTTCGTCGACCGCGATTTTGTCGTCCGCGGTTTTGTGGTGTTACCAAAAAGAGAGAGAGAGAGAGAGAAGACAACACCAAACATTGTTAAGTATAGCAAAACTCCTTCTCCCTTCACTGCCTGCCTTACAGGGAGATTTTAGTTTAGTTTTTTTAGTTTCATTTTATTTATATGCTGCCCTATTCCCTACGGGACTCAGGGCGGCGCACAAACCCCAAGGAGGGGAAGGGAAAACACAAACACTACAAAAGTACAGAGCATTTAAAAAACAACCAACAGCCACACGATTCGAGAGGGGAAGGGAACTCATCGACCCCAAGACCCCAGGCCTGCCGACACAGCCAGGTTTTAACGGCTTTTCGGAAGGCCTGGAGAGAGGTGAGGGTCCGAATCTCTGCGGGGAGTTCGTTCCAAAGGGCCAGAGCCGCCCTCTCTCTTAAGAAGAAGAGCTGCCTACCATCCTGGTGCCAACCACCCTGAGCACAGGGAGACTGGTGGCTCTGGCGAGTTCTGCCCTTTTCAGGGCCCAGTGAACCCGGAGCAGGCAGATGGGTCTTGGGGGTCATCAGCGAAGAGAGGTTGGCATCTTCCATGCTGCTTTGTTGAAACTTCAGCGGAATCTAAAAGCAAAGGGTAAAACTGCCGAGGCTTTGTGCCTACTGGCTGGCTGGCTGGTCGAAGGGCTTTGTGGCACTGGGTGTGTGTGTGTGGAGTGGGTTTGCCCACGGAAATGGTTTGTGCAATGGACATACTTCAAGCCGAGTCTTCTGTCATATTCTGGCCCAATTGCTGTATTTCTAGGTCTAAATTAGCCTTCTCCAGCCTGGCACTCTATGCTCCATGAACTGGATTGTGTGTCACATGTTGGTGTGTGTGTGTGAGTGTGTGTTTGTGTGTTTACTTTTTGTGTACTGAGATTGCACTTTTCCAGCTTTTGGTGGGTGTCAAATTGGAGACCTCCTTCCCATAAGATAGACACGAAGGGAGCAATCGGTCCGCTGGGACCAGATTGCCTCTCCAGCCCTTGGATTATATGCTGAGCTCTTCCTGAGGGCAAAGCCTAACGAGATTAAGCACCGATGCCGCTGCAGCTAAGCCTCTTTCGGGCACCTCGGCTTGAAGCTGCTCTAGAGGAGCGGCAGGCGAGCCGGAGAGGAGCCCCGGAGCGCCAGGCTCTGCGGATGGGAGACTCCGCCACCGGCTCTCTTTCGGGTCAATGCGCGAGAGGCGAGCCGGAGCCTCCGGGCGCCAGATCGGGGCCGGATCAGCTGATGCTTTCAGCGCCTCCGAGCTCTCCGCGGGCCGCAGCTGGGGGCGGGCCACGGCAGGCCAATCGCCGCCTGAGGCCGCTGACCGGCGGGGCCAGAAGTTGGGCCAGGTCCGAGGCGGGCAGGACAGACAGAGCCAGGCGGGGCTGCGAGCCGTCCGAGGCTTTTGCCCGCTTCGCCCTTCCGGGCCTCCTCCGGCTGCTCTGGAGGATTCCTTGCCCGGTGCCAAATCTTTCAAGCGCCCCGGGAACTGACCTTCCTGCGCGCCCCAGAAAGACCCCGGGGGTAGGTGGGGGAGAGGCGGGGGAGGGTCCGCGCGCGCATGCAAGACTTGGCCTCGTTCTTTGGGCGCTGGTGGTCTCTCCCCGCCGCCAGGACCCTCTGGGGGGGGGGTGCTTGCTGCAGGGCCGTGCCAAGGGAACAGCTATTGCGATGGGAGTTTTGCCGGGACTGGCTGATGAGAATCTCCGCCTGGAGCGCGGGGGTCCCGGGGGAGCTCATGATTAAGGGACTGGAGACTAACACATATGAAGAACGGTTGCGGGAACTGGGTATGTCTAGTTGAATGAAAAGAAGGACCAGGGGAGACATGATAGCAGTCTT